TACTGCTGATACCCTATACAATATTTTGCCTTTTTATTTGTATTTGTGTATTTCTAAACTTGACAGTTTTTCAAAATCATTTCTTATACTCTGTTCTTCCTCTTTAGTTTTTTTTCCTTTCGGCATTAGTATACTTTAAATTATAAAATATACATAAAGTATTTACAATATCACTTTAAACTAGATACACTAGTTATACTAGATGGAGAAATGTGAAGTATTTATAAATTTCTTCATAGAAAAATAAGTTTCCATTGAATAAATTAACTATTTAAAAAATCATTAAGTACTATAAGTATCTCTAAGTTTCAGTATCAAACTTACACACTTTAAACATTGTACCCTGCATATTTTATTAAAGTTAAAGACTTTAAACTGATGACTTTTACAGGTATATAAAACTATTTTTAGTTCAAAGCAATGAAACTAAACAACTTTATTGTCATTTAATCCTGGTTTAAGTAAAATAAATAAATCGGGATTTAATTACTGATTAATTTAAAACCAAGCTATTTACCAGAAGCTTTTGTTTTTCTCACACGCTTTACACAACCGCACTATACAAATTTGTACAGAATATTCTTTTTATAGTTCTTGTAAGCCTCAGAATTAAAAATAAAAGTTCCTACACACTCTTGTTATATGTATGTTATCTCTGTATGGAAAAAGCTGGTCGTTTTTACCCATCAAAAACGTGATGTTGTGATTATTTTTTTTTTACCAGATAGAAGGTTAAGAATGGCAAATAGACAGTAAAACTATGGAAAAGCGTTCATGGGTACTGAAACGCATTCATAGCTCCCATTTTTACTACTGTTCATATGAGGTACCACCCCTAAATATATCAGCCACTCTCGACAATGCAGATAAGACACCAAACCAAAACCATCGTCTCTCGAAGACGGACGGATGCCAACAACTTATTATATATATATATATATATATATATATATATATATATATATATATATATATATATATATATATATATATATATATATATAGTGATCCTTGTCAATGATCAGTATTGTCCAATGTGTGCTCTATATTTGTGCTAATTGTTTCGTATGTTATCTTGTGTTTTTGTAGGACGCTATATATAGGTCTAATTCTTAGAGTTGTTCTTAGTTTCATGTTTCATAAGGTGACTCGGAAAATTGGGTTAGATGTGTTATCAAACTTCCCGGTCTGTAAAACCTGCATTAATTTAGTGAGTGTACTACAGTAAGAGAATAGAACGTAACTTAGTATGTTAGGAATGTATGTGTATAGTTAAATTATTGGGTGTATGATTGTAGAATATGTTTTTACGCTTCTTTGTGTTCGTAATCTTCTTAGTTAACCTTGCTTTTGAGGAGATCCGGTACGACCCGCACTACCACAGCATAGGTATCGTACACTAGAGAACGTACACTCCTTAACAAGATCCAAAAGACCAATGTGTTAGAGAAGAAACTTGTCTTAAATGTCCCGGGTAATGAGTATTAGCAATGGTAAAATACCTATGCATTCCGTGCTTTTAGTGTCTTTCGCCGCAAGTAATCTACGACGGGATGCATGCTAGTTCAGTCACGTAGCCAAAAAAATAATAATAATAATCATCCACCCTATGTAATTTTGTACGCATGTACGAAAAAATGATCAAATCATTCTAAGGCGAAAAAAAAGTTATTTCTTGCCTTATTCTGTGACTACTTATTTTAAATACCACAGTAAGGTAAAAATAATGTTAATGGTAATTTGATTATCAACATGTTTAACAAAATGTATTTCTCAAAGAAACGTGTTTAGTTAAAAAATGACTAAAAAAAAAATAATCAAATTATATTTAACCTCAATGAATGTTCGTCCTGTTAGGACACTGCTGACGTCGCTGGTTCTTTCCACTGAAGAATGTCCTGGGAATCAGGCAGTCAACTGTGCTCATATCACAGTAAATTTCATTGAGAATTTTGTGTCAGAGGCATTTTCGGTACTGGCCAAAATGGTTTCCATGAACTCCAGCGCTTCTGGTCGGTGATGACGCAGTCACAATTTATAGTTTGAATTACAAGGTTTTTCCTCTTGCGTGGTACCATGTCAGCAAGTCCCAGTGCCGATAATAGAACAAAATGGGATTCGGCTCCTTTTTCCGTCTCATCACTGGGAGAGCTAAATTGTATCAGATCAAAGGCGACGAAAAACAAGTCATATAATTATATAAAAATATGAGCATTTGTCATTTTCATAGCACATTGAAAGAGACATGACGAGGCTATGTTTCTTCTTGACAGCCTTTCAAAATTATGTTTCATTACAATATAAGAGGGATTTGAACGGTGCATGAAATATTAAATTTAAAAAAGAGTGACTGAACTGATACCTCATTTGGAATGTGTGATATAAAGGTTCTGCTTTTAGTATCCACAGTAATGTTCCAAGAAATACAATGCTTAATAAAATACGATATTACACAGGAGTAGGAATTATTAAAATATTATTGTATACAATAGAATTAATAATAATCAAAATGAAACAAGGCGACATACCAATAGAAACTTGGAACTTTATCATTTCACGGTACAATGAAATAAAATGATGATTAAGTCTTTTTCTAGATGGCAAATAACGGTGCAGGTAAAGCTTGTATGTGCTTTTGAGCTATCATTCCTTCTTTTTGGCAAGTTTGTCATTGCAAGAATTTAAAATAGATTTATACAGGTACACGCTTTGAATGAATGAATGAATGAATGAATGAATGAATGAATGAATGAATGAATGAATGAATGAATGACGAAGACGACAGTCTAAAAAGAACTTACGAGGAGTGTTACATTACAAAACAGAGCACATGTGCAGTTATTTTGTGAAGAAAGTATTATTAAAGAAAATAACTTCACAATTATAGTCAATTTGGAATAATTCCACGCTAAAAATGTCAGTCATCAGGTTTTAAAAGGTAGTTTTATATTTATTGTTGAATGACTGCATTAACATTTGCTGTATGCCCCCATATACAGCAGTGTTACTTTTATATTTAGAACCGTTCCGGTGACCTAGTGGTTAGAGCGTTCGCCTCGGATGCGAATGATCGCGGGTTCGATCCACGGCCGAGTCATATCAAAGACTTTCAAAAATGGTACTAACAGCTGCCTCGCTTGGCGCTCAGCATTAAGAGGTTAGTGTTAGGACTGGTTGGCCTGGTGTCAGGATAATGTGACTGGGTGCGATATCATACCAAATGTCTCTAGTATGATGCCCCAGTGCTAGACAACACTATAAACTGCCACAATGCAGATATCGTAGCGATATGAATAAAAGATTGTTAAAGGTACGTTAAAAAACTATAATCACTTTTATAATTAGTGTTAGTGTTTCTAACTAGTGAAATTTTGGCCTTATATGAAGATATCTGGTAAAATTGCCATTGTGTACGTTTTGGAAAGCGACAAACATCTGCGCGAAACATGTAAAGTTTTCGGAGTCTTATAAGATTCAAAACGAAAATCACGTAGCTTTTTATAATACGTAGACAATTTGACTTTGGCAAATTTTAAATACAGCAAGTACTTATAAAAGTAATTAAAGACAGTGGTGAAGCAGTTCTTGTTTGGATAAATCTAGTAAACACAAAATACACTTGTCCTGTCTTGTATGCTGGTCTTATGAGAGGTCATGCAATCTCTAGAGCAGTAGAAGTCATCCTGGTCTTCGTTGTCGCTAGAAATGCAGAAGGCCTTTAGAAAATGGGTTTTCATTTTTTTTTATCAAATTAGGAAACACTGGTTTTATGTCAGGTTCGGGAGCACCATCTTGAACGCAGATAATGTAGAAGTGACGGGCAAAGAAACTGTTACCGAGTGACGCGATTTTTATGGAGTACGCACGTGTCCTAGCAGCAGAATGTCCTATCTTTCTTGTGTGATTTGTTGTTTCTCTTAGGACGTCTTGCGAATTATCTTTTTCTTTTTGTGAGTTCGAACTTGCTGAACCACTATCACCGCTCCTTTTTGGTCCTCTGTCTTTTGGGGGATTTGGCTGTCTGCTTTTAAGGTTCGGCATTAAGATCCCATTGTAGAAGTATAAAGTCAAAGACACCTCCTAAAATTCACTTCCGCCAAGCTTCAGACTAACTTTTTATTGTTTGGAGTATCGAGTCTTGAAAAAGCCAGTTATATCAACGCTAATTTATTTCAAAAGATTGCTTGATTTCGATGGTGTATATGTGAATTATCCTTTGAAGTTATTTACTTGCCATTAATAAAAACTATCTAATGTTTCGTTAAGAATCGATTCTAGCAAAAGTGACCGTTCTTGTTCATTTTCTTTTTCGCTACTACTGGCATGCAGAGCACGAAACAGCTGGGCAAGATGATGAGATTGAAAGGATATCATACAGAATACTGAATGAAAGAAAAGATTCGAAGGCTGCATTTTTGTTCTTTCTTTTCTTTTTTTTTTTTTTTTTTTTTTTTTGCTAGCAGATACCAAAAGGTGATGTGTAAATAACAAAATTTTCTTCAGTGCTGAACAAATATTGGTACGAAATGTTAGATAATCGGGGATGGTAGTTGTTAAAGCGAGAACGAAATACGCATGAGGTTTTTGAGTGGTATCGTGATGCACATAATTCAGGCAAGGTGTTTCTAACTGTTTTACCAACACTTGAAATTTATCTCTTGAACTTCTAAACTGAACCACCTTATATACAATAGACTTTTGAGACTGATGGTTCGAAGGGATTTACGTAGCTGAAATAAAGTTTGAATAATGTTAATAATACTAGCATTACAGTCTTGTCCTTTTTCGAGTCAACCAAAGTTTAATTTCTTATTCGTCTTCTCGGTCCAGCAATCAGTATTTAAAGTGATGCTTGAATCGTGGTCGCCGCACATAGAGGCATGGGGGAGAGAAAACTGCTTCCTTCCCCCGATTTCACATCTAAACATATTTTGTTCTAAATACGTTTTGTTCTAAATCCGTAAAACTTAATTGCAGATCACTACATGTTTACCCCACCCTTGCCCCGGAAATAATTAAGGGTGCGCCATTGGTCTGAACCACTCAGTTCAGTAATCAATGTTTAAGGGTTGGAGTGAATCACTCAGTCCAGCAAACAGTATTCTAAATGGGCGAAAAATATACAAGGCCTCCCAACTTTGGCGATCTAACTCTTCGTCAATCATTTTGAGAACGGATCATACAGCCATTACATCCACCCACCCCACAATGGCGCCATTTGGTCATAAATCCCTATCAATCCGTAATAGGGATCTCTTTTTATAAATGGGTTGTCACTTATTTCCAATTTTACCAAACGATCAAATACATATACATTAACTGGTTTCATTTGATAAAACTTTCTGACTGAAATTGCCTTTTCTGCTTATTGTTGTGAAGAAAATTGAATCGTCGAAGATTTCTTTCTTAATCACAGAAAACAACGTTGATTTTATTGCTCCTTTTGTAACATTGTTGGTAGCGAGAGATAAATGTAGTCGTTGTGATCTACGTTTGCCATATGCATAGTGTGTGATTGTGTGATTTAAATTTTTAACATAGCTTTTAACAATTTTTCAGTCATATCGCTATGATGTCTGCAGTGTGGCAGTTTATAGCGATGTCTAGCACTGGGGCATCATGCCTCAGACATGTTGCATAATGTTCCACCCAGTCACATTATCCTGACACTAGGTCGACCAGTCCTAACACTAACATCATAATGCTGAGCGCCAAGCGAGGCAGCTGTTAGTACTATTTTTGAAAGTCTTTGGTATGACTCGGCCGTGGATCCAACTCGCGACCTCCCGCATCCGGGACGTTCTAACCACTAGGCCACTGGAGCGGTTTGCATTTTCTCACATTTTCTCACTGTATTCCAGGTCTGAATTTTGCATTGACCGATCTTTGTCGTCAAATCAACTAATTCAAGCATAAATATAAACGTCTGCAGCGCGTATGTATGTATGTATGTATGTATGTATGTATGTATGTATGTATGTATGTATGTATGTATGTATGTATGTATGTATGTATGTATGTATGTATGCATGCATGCATGTACGTACGTATTTATGTATGTATGTATGTATGTATGTATGTATGTATATGCGCGCACCCGCGCGCGTTTGTAAAACTTTTAATTGTCGATGAAAGAAATAACATCATCATCATCATCATCAACAACTGGAACAACAACAAATAATAATAATAATAATAATAATAATAATAATAATAATAATAATAATAATAATAATAATAATAATAATAAGAAGAAGAAGAAGAAGAAGAATAAGAATAAGAAGAAGAATAAGAAGAAGAAGAAGAAGAAGAAGAAGAAAGAAAAAAAAAGAATAGCTCCAACGAAATAAATAAATATAATGCAGTATAACCATTAGCATAGACCATAGCCTGCTATCATTCTCTTTCATCGTATAATATTTAGGTGTAACGACGACGACGACGACGACGACGACGATGATGATGATGATGATGATGATGATGATGATGATGATAATGATGATGATTGTTATTGTTGTTGTTGTTGTGTTAGTGGAGACTTATTTCTGAATTATATCGTTAGAAAATTGTTGCTTAAATTTACAAATACCCTTCATTTTAATACTTCAATCAGACGTTAATTAATTCGTTCCGGTTGTATTTATTGTTACTCCTGCAATTTCTGTCTTTGCACTGTATATGCTGTAAACTGAGAAGAGTGCCTATGTCAACTTTGTATCCCGCAGGGACCCTTTTTAAAAAGTAAGCATAGGGCTGAATTAAACCACATCAAGGATAATATATTATGTTGGATTGGTTTACACATTTCAGCCAATGGTAATGATTGGTTGGGGGAGTCATATGACCAACTTGGCGCTTCAGTAATATATTCAGTTTAGTAGCGTCGGTTTGTATGGGATTAGAGTGATTGTGATCGTTGAAAATGGTATAGTATCAGCCAAAAATCGATTTGAATCTAGATCATCAATGAATGTGATTGGTAGACTCGGGCTATTTTGCAGTTGTTGTGCTTGCTGCATAAGTTATTTTCTGTTAATAATTCTCATATTATTGTAAATTTGCATTTACAGGCAGGAGGAAAAGCTGGTAAAGATTCTGGAAAGGCCAAGGCGAAGGCCGTATCAAGGTCTGCAAGGGCCGGTTTGCAGGTATGTAAACAAACTATTTGCCTCGATGATATTAATATATTTTGAAACAAATAATTATAAGCGTTCAAGTAATTTCCTTGACTTTATTCATAATATCTGTATTGTTTTCAGTTTCCCGTCGGTCGTATTCACAGACATTTGAAAAACCGAACCACCAGTCACGGTCGTGTTGGAGCCACAGCGGCTGTCTACAGTGCTGCTATTTTGGAGTACTTGACGGCCGAAGTAAGTACATGTTCTGTTTATACAATTTTCCATTCAATAATTTTACGCAATCGCGCTTTGTTTAGACACCGTCGAAATTCGCGGGCAAATCGCGCCATTTTTTGTTCAGCGGAAGCCATCTTTAATTCAACCACTTCCGCATTATTGTTTGCAGCTTTCGTAATTTACTTTTGTTAAAAAATTCAAATTTTAATTTTAAAAAATAAGTATAATTTACTGGTGTTTTCTTGTTGCAATTGCTACAAAGTTGAAGCGTACGTGCAAAAATTTCATTCGGGATCTTGGCACCGGTTATTTCTATAATGTAAGACAGCACTTTGTTTTTGTTACAGTGCTGTCTTAACGGCCCTAATAACGGCCTTACATAGCCTAGTTCCGATGTCATGAACATTGGAACTAGTTGTCAGTTTCAGAAATATCTCGCACTTGGCAGCCAATATCGACACTCATCCACTACTTATTCTGTAATTAATATATTTGTGCTGTCTTTGTCGAACTATGACACTAGCAAATGGACGAATTTTCATGTTCCGTTGACACACATTTTAATTTGTTCCAAGTATGTTATAGATTTGTTTCTTGAACGAAACATTGCTTGTAGTTCCATTAGGCATACATTTTGTTTATTCGTTTTGTTTAAGAATAATGACAAACATTCTAACAAGGTGTAATGTGGGCAATGGATACAACTCTAAATGGTCAAAATTATGGTAATGTATGGAAA